TAGCACTAAGGTTGGAGAGATTTCTCTTTTAGATGATCAACTTTGTCAGTATGATGTTGCAGGGTGTCTGTTTCTTGGAAACGGTTTAGTTCAGACAGTGGTAGATATGGAGGAAAACCATAACATGTATGTGGAAACTTTTGCAGTGTGGAACAACAAAGGTTATGTAATTATGTTTACCATATCATATTCATATTCAGGGAAAGGTTTCAAATATGTGCCTCTATGCACAATCCCTGTTGTTTCACATCCTCCTAATGTTGAGTTATCATTCTCTTTTGTTCTAATGAATCAAAATCTTGTGCGGATTGAATCAATCTGTCTCCACACTGAAGAACCAGTGCATTGGAAACCCCATATAACAATATGGGCAAAAGGCAAAAACTTTAATCAAGAATGTAAATTGGTAGGGAAAGGAAGCTATTTTGATGAGTGGTTTGTGGGTTCAAAGAATTCAAATGGTCTTTTAAAAAGGGAGTTTGTGGTGACTTCTTCAATGGTTATTTCTGAAAACGACTCCTCCCCTTATGCGATAGTTTATGGATATGATAGTGGAGAAATAGAAGTTCTTCGGTTCAATATGTTCTCTGAAAAAGTGGAAGGAAGTCCACGTGAAGAGGTGGATTCATGTGCATGGAAGCAATATCTTTCAGGACACGCAGGTGCTATACTATGTTTAGCTGCACACCAAATGGTTAATACCTCAAGAGGATTCAACTCCACTATCTTTTTAATCTCTGGAAGTATGGATTGCACAATACGTATATGGGATCTCAACTCCAGCAATCTTGTTGCAGTGATGCATCATCATGTACAACCTGTACGCCAGATCATCCTACCTCCTCCCCACACTGATCGTCCATGGAGTGATTGTTTTTTATCCATTGGAGAAGATTCATGTGTTGCTTTAGCTTCACTTGAGACTTTAAGGGTGGAAAGAATGTTTCCAGGACACCCGTATATCCCTTCAAAAGTAGTATGGGATAGTACTAGAGGCTATCTTGCATGCTTCTCACTGAATCATTCAGCAACATCTGATGCATCTGATGTGCTCTACATTTGGGATATAAAATCAGGTGCACGTGAGCGAGTTCTTCGTGGGAATGCTGCTCATTCAATGTTTGACCATTTTTGTACAAGTGGGAATAAGAATAACTTTTCTCTAAGCTCCATGGAGAGGAACACTTCTGCTTCATCATTGCTTCTTCCAGTAATTGAAGACACACAAGTTTCACAATCTCATCCAAATACTCCAGAGAAACGCGTTGCTTCAACAGCAGATTTATCTCATGCCACTACAAGGATGATTCAACATGGGACCCACGGAAGCAACGGATATCCGATCACATGCTCTTGCCCTTTCCCAGGAATTGCAACATTGACTTTTGATATGACTTCATTGATGTCACTTAGGGCTGAATCTTCTGAAAATCAGAACGACGAACCTAAGATTCAGACTCCCAGAAAGGGGTTGGAAAGAATCAACAGCTCTCTGAGTACAGATGGAGATCAAGAAACCCATGTGGGTCCTACAGAATACACTGATTGGGCTCATTCAATAGAAGGATGTTTATTTCGGTTCAGCTTATCAGTTTTACATTTGTGGGATGTTGATCATGAGCTTGACAAGCTCTTAGTTTCTGAGATGAAACTCAAGAAGCCCAAAAATTTCTTTGTAGCTTCTGGTTTGCTTGGGGACAGAGGGTCTCTCACATTGACATTTCCTGGTCCAAGTGCAACATTAGAGGTACAATTCCCTCTTTGTTAACAATTATAAGTTAATATCATTTTTCACATCTAATACATTTATGTTAATGGCTCAATGTTTCAGCTTTGGAGATCATCTTCAGAGTTCTGTGCAATGAGGTCTTTAACTATGGTGTCCCTTGCTCAACACATGATTAGTTTGTCTCATTCATGCTCCACTGCAAGCAGGTAAACCAACATTTTGCAATGAGTAATACAAAATGGTTAGAAAATAGAGATTAAAGTAATATGTAAAAGATAGTGAGATGATTGTAAACTTTTTATTTGCAGTGCATTAGCTGCATTTTACACACGAAAATTCGCAGAGAAATTTCCCGACATTAAGCCACCTTTACTCCAGGTAATTAATTCATATGCATGTATGCAACAGAAACCGTAAACCTTATAATGTTTGTTTGCATTGTTTTCTGATTCTTTTTCTATTATGTGCAGCTTTTAATTAGCTTTTGGCAAGATAAAAGTGAACATGTCCGAATGGCAGCACGTTCATTGTTCCACTGTGCAGCTTCAAGGGCAATTCCGTTTCCACTCCGGAATCACAATTCCAACGATGATAACGGAAAGGAGGATTCCGAAATGTTATCATGGCTAGAATCATTTGAACGTCAAGACTGGGTATCATGTGTAGGTGGGACAAGTCAAGATGCAATGACTTCTCACATTGTTGTTGCTGCTGCTTTAGTTGTTTGGTACCCAAGTCTTGTAAAGTCAACTCTTGCTAATCTGGTCATACATCCACTGTTGAAATTAGTCATGGCTATGAATGAAAAATATACTTCTACAGCAGCTGAGATTTTGGCAGAAGGTATGGAGGGGATATGGAGTGTCTGCATGAGTTCAGAAATACCTCGTTTAATTTCGGATATTTTCCTTCAAATCGAGCATGCCAAGGGACAATCTGTTAAGCCAATGACAACACATGGTTCAGCTGCAAACCTTGAGATTCGTGAATCTTTAGTTGGGATACTTTTACCAAGTTTAGCAATGGCTGATGTCACATCTTTTTTACATGTGATTGAAAGACAAATTTGGTCTACTGCTTCTGATTCACCTGTTCATATTGTCTCCCTCATGACCCTCATCAGAGTCGCTCGTGGGTCCCCTAGAAATTTAGCTCCTTACCTTGATAAGGTTTGCAAGTTTTTCCTTTCTTAATTATTTTGCAAGTTTTTCCTTTTCCTATATCATCTTTAACAAATTAGCCAGGTTGCAGGTGGTGAATTTTATTCTACAGACAATGGACCCTGGCAACATGGCCATGCGTAGAAGTTGCTTACAAAATTCAATGGCAACATTAAAAGAAGTTGTGCGTGTTTTTCCCATGGTATCCCTCAATGACTCATCTACTCGCTTAGCTGTTGGTGATGCAATCGGAGATATTAACAAATCTATCATCCGTGTGTACGAAATGCAAAGGTATTACATCTGGTTATTTGATTATTTTGTTGCATAGATAACGTTTTTTTATTTTTGTATAGTATGACAAAAATAAAGATATTGGATGCTAGTGGACCTCCAGGGCTTCCAACATTGCTTGGAGGAGCATCTGAAACGACTGCAAATACTGCAATTTCTGTGTTGAGCTTTTCACCTGATGGAGAGGTACAACCATTCATGCTATTTTAATACTAGAATTTTTCCAATAATTTTTTTTTTTTTGGAAATATATGGCAGGGGTTGATAGCTTTCTCTGAGCATGGTTTAATGATAAGATGGTGGTCATTGGGATCCATGTGGTGGGAAAAGCTTAGTAGGAATCTTGTTCCTGTTCAATGCACTAAACTGATATTTGTTCCTCCATGGGAGGGCTTCTCTCCTACTTCCACAAGATCTAGTGTAATGGCAAGTGTAATGGGTAACGGGAAGCACTTTTCACAGGTATTTTGTAATATATACATACCATGGATAGATAGGTAATAGGTAAATATGGATTGTGACCGTTTTACCCTTCGTTTGACAGGATAATTCAAAGGACTTGAGCGAAATGGACAGATTGAAAAACTTGCTTCATAATCTTGATCTCTCCTACAGGCTAGAATGGTCCAGTGGAAGGCAAGTGTTACTCAAGAGGCATGGACAGGAATTGGGAACTTTCCAATTATAACCTCAATGCTTTCTCCACATTACCAAAATATGATCATCCAACTTATATGGACAAAATTGCCCTCTCAATTTTTCGGTTAGATTACCTTGTCTAGATCTGATAAATGGGAAACACTCGCCTAAGGGTACTTTAGGTATTTCACTATAGTTGCCACATCGTTAGTGCTTGTAAAGAACACAAAATTATTAATTTGGTTGCACAGTTTTGCTGCTTGTAGACTTGTAGTTTCGTATGGAATTTTTGGAATTACAGTTATACCCTTATAGGATTTTGAAATTACAAATTTATACCTTTGTGAGATTTCGTAACTAAGATGTTGCATACACTTTTTATCATTGGATTATCTATTTGGATCTTCTCATCGGGCTTGTTTAGTATTGAGATTTCTAAAGGGAAAAAGACCTAGAAGGGTAGCAAAGTTTTAGAATTGTACAAAAAATACCATTGAGTTTTTTTGTTTACACGAATTACCAGCCAACTATTCTTTTTGTACACGTAAGACTATTAAATTTTACTTTTTGTTTAAAAAATATCATTATGTTATCTATAATAGTAGGTCACCAGTATCATAACATGCCATGTTGCTGTTGTCCGTGGATTTTAAATGTCTAACATGTATATATTACTGTACCATTAAGCCTTTTTGTACGTATTTTACCATTATTGTATGCTGATATGAACCGAGTGGATAAGTGAGATTGGGTCTATAAGAAGCGTAAAAAAAAGCAGAGGGTTGTTTAGTAATTTATTATTATTCTAGTATCTTTATTATTTAGTATTTATCTAGTTGATTCTAGTTTCCTTATGCAGTTAGGGTTTCCCTTTACAAATATAGTTTCCTTTTATCAGTTTAGAAGAGTCAATAAATAGGTTAGGGTTGACTCTTCTAAGGTGAGGAAAATTTTTAGTGAGTCGTTTTCTTTTGTTTGGAGATCCCCGGAGTCTCGAATATCAAGCACCTATCTTTGGTTCTTTAAGCATTAAGTTAAGATTGGGTTATTTTCTAATCAGTTTATATCAAATTGGTATCAAAGCACTTTCTTGGAGTACTGTTCTCGACAACTGTTCATCGAACACTGTTCACGCCGTTTACTGTTCATCGAACACTGATCACGTCGTTTACTGCACGATGCCGAAACCCGATAACAGATTTGATACTGCTGCCCATAATTTGAATAAAGATTCAGTCTTGGAAGAGAGTTCCTCATGGGATCGGATTGAGAAGATGGAGGCGGAATTAGCAGAGATCTGGACCGAATCAGAAAGGCGTCAAACCTTAGCTGATCAGCGCAATGCAGAAGTTATGGCCCTCCTAATTAAGGTGGCCCAACCTGCCACCCAACCGTCGCCCGCTACCGCCACAAATCCGTCATCAGTTACGCAACTGTCGCCAATCATCCAATCATTACCACCACCCATCACCACCTGCCGACCCATTATTCATACGCTGCCACCCCCGAATTTTTTGATGCCACCTCCAAATCACCAACGCCTAGGAACACGAGGATGGCCACAAACCCCTATCATCTACACACAACCGCCCTAGATCACGTCAACGCTTCAATACGACGAACATGGGTATCCGGTTCCTCCACATAATATGCGTCGAGAATCTGGGTCAAGCAACACCAAATTCTAAGCATATGCAGGGGAGGGTTGGGAAATCGAAGAATAGTCGGCCACACAACCCGTTTGAATGGGACAATACTTTGGGTCTAACATAGGACATGGAGGGGGATGGTTCCCAAATGTGGATTACAGATTGAGAAAACTCAAGATGCCACTATTTGAAGGGGAAGATGTTTACGGGTAGGTTTATAAAGCGGAACATTTCTTTGATATGCAAGGGTTGGCAACGTTGGGTGAGAGACTACGTGCAACAGTCCTATGTTTGGAAGGGCCAGGCATGGTATAGATGGAGCGACACCCGGATGCCTTTCCGGTGTTGGGAAGATTTAAAGAATAGGTTGCTGGAACGTTTCCAGGCGTCACAAGAGAGTAGTTTGCAAGAACAATTTTTAGACATACGACAGATTGGATCGGCTGTGGGGCGTTTTGAACAGATGGATGCACAACTCGAGGGCATCCAAGAGTCAATTTTGGAGGGGACTTTCATCATGGGGTTGAAACCGAACTTGCGCAAGTTGGTTCAGATCTTGCAACCACAAGGGTTGGGATAGGCGATGAAGTTGGCACTTGTGGTAGATGAGAACGAAACTGGAACAATCATGGGTTAGACAAAGGAAGTACAAAAGTCAATGTGAACCGTGCGCTGGGCATGGTTAAAACCACAACAACATGAGCATTGGCAACCCACACCCCCTTCCGACGAATGACTGACACAGAATTCGTGGACAAGAAAGCCAAAGGGTTATGTTTTCGCTGCAACCGAAATTTTGGTCCAGGTCAACGCTACCCAGAGAACACCCTTCAGGTGTTGTTGGTGGATGATGAAGAGGGGGGGAAGATGAAGAGACAGAGACGGGAGAACACGCAACAATTTCTAGGTTTCCACCTTGAGGACAATTTGGATTTTCACCGAGGGGGTATTGATATGAACCGAGTGGATAAATGGGATTAGGACTATAAGAAGCGAAAAAAAAGCAGAGGGTTATTTAGAAATTTATGATTATTCTAGTATTATTTAGTTGATTCTAGTTTCCTTTTACGAATATAGTTTCCTTTTATCAGTTTAGGAGAGTCAATAAATAAGTTAGGGGCGACTCTTCTAAGAGGAGGCAAAATTTTAGTGAACCGTTTTCTTTTGTTTGGAGATCCCTTGAGTCTTGAATATCAGACACCTATATTTGGTTCTTTAAGCATTAAGTTAAGATTGAGTTATTTTCTAATCATTTCATATCATATATATATTTCACATTAATCTTATATAATTTGTTAGAAAATGCACATTATTATATAAAGTATTTGGATTTTTACAAATAAGCTCAAACTATTTTAATGGATAATTATATTTTTTTTCATAGGTATAAAGTATTTCTACAAAAAAAATGTGTTTTTTGTTTAAAAATAGACATTTCTACAAATCAAGATTAAATCCATTTTTATGTAATAATATGTATTTTAATGAATTATATAAGATTAATAGTAGAATATTTATAAAAAAATAATAATTATATAATATATATACAGTAAACAGTAAAAAATGGGGTTCATGCACCCCATTTGGAAGTATCCCACTTTAGAAGTGGATTAGAGTCATTATATTATCAAAAATAACCTTAAATAAATTTTGTTTTACTAAGAAACCCCATCCATGATATCTACTCTTACAAGAAAAATTCATCTTTGATATTTTTTTTTCTGAAAAAAATTAAATATATCGTAAAATATCAAAGTGTTATATTTTTATTTATTTTTTATAGCATAATGATATTTTTTAAACAAAATATTAGTTTAATGATATATATGTATAAAAGCTATAGTTGTTTGGTAACACGTTTACACAAACAAATTAATAGTGTTTTTTATGCATTTTTGATACTTTGTTATCGTTTTAAATTAATTTTTTTATTTCTGAATGATGATTTTCAGATTGTAAATGTTTTGGAAATTTGAATTGGAAGGCTTATTACTTATGTTTGTGTTAATTTATCTGTTTGCATACATGTACATGTTCTTTTATTAGATAACCGTCAGCTCAGTCGATTGGGGGTTAAAACCCACCAAAAGTGTATCTTGAGTAGCTTGTTATTGTGATAATATAATTTTTAATTCGTATTTAACATGCGACTTATTTACAAAAGTTTCTAAGACAAATATGGATTCCATTTCGAACTTTTATTAAAAAAAAAAATTCTAACATGAAAGAGCATCACCATAAATAGATGCTTTTAGAATAGAAGTTAAATCATAAATGGTTTGGGCTATAACTTATAAGCTCGATCCCTGCACCAGCACACACCTAATCCTACCTCTGAATAAAATCACTCCACAGCTCAAAAACATACCATATCACCTCTCACAATTCACAAACAAAACCACAGAGTAGCCATGGCGACGACTTCATCGTGTTACACGTCTCCGTTCCACACCGGTGTCTTCTCGAAACAACAATCCATTCTACCTTCTTCCACTTCTCTCCTCACCTGCTCCACCAGACGCTTACCTATCTCTCTTAGGTCGATATCACGGCCGATGGTAGTTGCGGCAGCCGCAAACGCCGTTGAAGCTGAGAAACCGGCCGTCGCGCAAACTCCTTCGAAGATTCTCCCGTTCCGAGTCGGCCACGGGTTCGATCTTCATAGATTGGAACCTGGATACCCTCTCATCATCGGAGGCATTGATATTCCTCATGACAGAGGTTGCGAAGCGCACTCCGATGGTAAGTTGTATTGTTACTTTAATCTATGGCGATTATCTGATCCCAACTACGCCACTTGACTCAGTTCTTTCTTTTGTTTTCTATTTGAAATTTTCTATGGACTGCATAATACACAATTACAATTCTCAAATTTATCTTCACTGTTTGTAATTATCTCTCCAAACCTTACTTTCTGAGCATCTGAAACCTGTATGAGATAGAATTGATGGAACAGTCGCGAATTTCTGTGAAATTTGATGAATGTAGCGGGGCAAAATTTGATGATCTTTCAGGGAAAAAGTATGAAACATAATAGACTTGCAGCTGAGTTACCTAACTTAGAAATGAAAAGTGCAAAGCTAAATTTGAAATGTTATATCAAGTGTTAAACAATCATTAAACCGTATTATGCAAATCATCCTTCACATTTATTGAAAAAGAGTAGTTTTTCTTCTTCTTCTTCTTCTGATTGATTGTGGTGTTATAGGTGATGTGCTGTTGCATTGCGTTGTTGATGCAATCTTGGGAGCTTTGGGTCTACCTGACATTGGGCAGATCTTTCCAGACTCAGATCCTAAATGGAAAGGAGCAGCCTCATCCGTTTTCATCAAAGAAGCTGTAAGTTTCTATCAAAATTTCAAACTTTATTATCAACTCTTTTAACTCATTGCATCTATCACTTAAACATGCAACAATGTATATCTGTTGCACCTCAAATCCTGACCTAAGAAATCAAGCTAGCATTAAAAGAACAATTAATTACATCTCTATACATACCCTCTTTCCCTAAGGCTTCTGTTGAAAAGAAAATCTAGGACTCATCACAGTATGGAATATGAATTGATTTAAAATATCATATTCATATCAGGTGAGATTGATGGATGAGGCTGGTTATGAGCTAGGAAACTTAGATGCAACTTTGATACTTCAAAGACCAAAGTTAAGCCCTCATAAAGAGGCGATTCGAGCCAATTTGTCTTTGCTTCTAGGTGCGGACCCTACTGTTGTGAATCTCAAAGCTAAAACACATGAGAAGGTAGATAGTCTTGGAGAAAATAGAAGTATTGCAGCTCATACTGTTGTGCTTTTAATGAAGAAGTAAGAAAAGAATAATCCCAATATACATATTTTGTGTTGTTTAATCAAAGGTTTTTAATTTATGTATACAAATGTAGTGAATCTAGCTTTCCTGTTTCTTTTATAATGCATATTTAGTTTAATTCTGTGCACGAAGATATATACCAATGGATTCTGATTTTGCACCAATTATAGTTTTTATGGTACACAGTTTGAAAAAAAATAAATCGATACCATACCATGTTGTTGATAAATTGATGAAACAATAGCGAAAAGTTGATAACTGAAAGATCTACTTATGGATTGACAACACCAGAATACTTTGATATCTTATGTTCATGATGACATAAAGATACCTTATGTGGTAGACATGTTGATTTGAATTAATTATTAATGTATGAAAATTCTAATTTATATGATAATATTATTGATGATTTACACTAGTTAATTTTATGCTGTTGATAAATTGATGAAACAATAGCGGAGTCCAATAGCAATTTTAGTTGCTGCAATAGCTATAATAAAAATGGAGAAAATAAAGATTAATCATATTTAATATAAGTTTAAGACATGTAAGAGTCCTAATCATATTTCAACTTGTAATCAATCGATATAGATCGAAATGGAAAATAAATAGGCACTCAATGTATGGAATTAAATAGCCATAGAGATGCAAAAAATCAATAAAACAACATAATCCTTTTCTTTCTCTTCTTCATGACACTATCAGTCAAAATCCCGATTTCGGTTTTGATTCAAAACTTGTGTCCATATCTAATTGTTTCAGTTTCCGTTTAAGAATCCTTGTGTTGATGTAGCCGTGGAGGAGGGGTGTTGAACACTGATGGGTGAGGGTGACGGGGGAAGGGATACCTGGTAACCTTTTTCGAGGTTGTAGGGTTGTTGGTTACATGAATAAGACACTCATGTATCCACCTCAACCATTACTCTGGAAATCTCATAGCAACTATAATCGACTCCACGAAATTTCAATTATCAAAATCATAAACTTTTTCAAAGGTAGCCTTTAAAAGCATTGTGTTTTTTTTTACTCATTAAAAACTTTAACAATGTTAAGCATTCGTTCAGTATTAAAGTACCATCAAGGATTTATCGGCATCGGATAAAAGTAAGTTGAGAAGACAAGACTAACAACCTATCCGGTTTGTTTGCCAAAATTTGGCAATACCTTTGTATCGACATCTTATCTTATGAAACTCATTTAACAAAAATCAATAACAATTATTAGTTGAGGGGTTTATCACTTACTCAATCTCACATTGCTTTAATATATGAAAAATTAAATATTCTTCTCCTTGTTCTTTCTATTTATCTTCCTATTTATATGAAATCGTGACAAATGTTGTATTTTGATAAAATTAATTATATTTTAGAACATTTGTCATCATTTCAAATGAATAGGAAGATAATTAGGAAAAAAAGCATGAGATTTGGTGAAATTATAGATGCCAACTTTTAGAAATTAATTAATTAATTAATAACTCTAATTGGCATATTATAAATGTATATTATTTAACAAATGGGAATGTTATTTTATCTATTATATTTTTTTTTTTACTTAATTAGGTTTTTTGAATTACTCAAACAACTAATACATCTATATTAGGTATTACAATTTCATATAACAAAAACACATAGAAACGTTATCTTCTACAATGTATTTTAATAAAAGCTGATTATCTAATTCTAATTCTTTGTACACATGTTGGTTTTGCGTTCTTTTCATTCAACAGAAAAACATATAGAGCTGTAGATTTTGGA